CCTACCTACAAGTGTGCGCACGCATCCTTTTTAAAAACACTGGGTAAGCACTCTTTTAAGTATACGATATTATATATATGATAATATAAAGATCTTTTCTTTATTCATATATACACTTGCGTATATATATATATATATATATATATATATATATATATATATATATATATATATATATATATATATATATATATATATATATATATATATTATATATATATATATATATATATATATATATATACAATATATAATATAATATAATATACAGTGCCGTAGCAAGGTGCAAGACAGAAATTTGGCGCCCTCCACCATCCCTCCCATTTTTTGTTTTGTGTTTTGAATCTTAATTCTTTTGCTTTATCGTTTTTGCGTTAGTTTTAAAGTTGATTTTATATCAATACAAATATAAATGCTATTAAATTATTGAGATTCAATATTAAATACCATTTAACACCACATATTAGCATTATTTATATTTCCGTTTTAAACTTTAAAACAAATAAAATGAAAACATGCACAATTAAGAAGTTTGGTTAAACAAACATGTGCCAAAGATAATTTGCGGAATACATGTGTATTGGCACATGTAATCCGCATTTGGTTACATGTATTCCATGTAACCAAACTTATTAAACATCATTGCAACGATAAATCATAGGTCTGTTTAGTATAAAACAATTGTTTAATATAAAACTATTTTTTTTACATAAAAATAATGTTGTACAATGTTTGTATGCCTCTTATATTTGTATTTCTTATATTTTATTTTTGATAATAATATATAAATTTTATTTCTTATATTTTATTTATACAAACAAGATTAACTTTTATTATTTATAAATTTACTTATAAAATTAAACAATGGCTTTATACACTGGATCAAAAAAGGTGTTAGACTTTAGTGCCCTTTGGACTATTTTAGAGGCCCGCCTAAGAAGAGTAACTTACGACTAGTCATATTTTTTTCGATAAAATGTACAACAGTTGCTTGCCCTCCTCGGAAGAGGAAACGGTTGGAGGTACGCTGAGGTTTGGGATCTTTTTTGACCCCTGAATAAATACAAATATTATTTAAAAAGTAGTTTTATAATTGTTTACATTAGTATTTACTAATCTTATTTGAGACAACTTAATAAATAATGCTTTATATATAACATAAAATCACAAGTAAAATGTCACATAATAAACATCTTATAATAAAACAGGTTTATAACTGGTTTTGCCATATGCATAATTTATAGTTTTGCACTTTCGATTTAAATTGAGTATAATAATATCACCTTTATAAAATTAACTGTTTCTGGATCGTACAAAGACGACTTATATGATATAACAAAAATAATATATAGAGCCGTGATTTAGCTCACCCCCATACCCTAATTGGGAAAGTCCAGCAATTTTAGGGATCCATTTGGAAACTTAAGATTTTGATAAGATTATTTATTTATTTAGCCGTTTAAATAAGATTTACGATGTTCAATAATATAACAAAATAAAATAATTGATAGGAGCAAGAAGAAGGCATAAATTAGCCTTATCACCAAGCCCCTAATTTCGGGGCCTTTTTTGCAATTTTTTTTTTATTCTATTATTTTGATAATACCTTGTGGAAGTTTATTAAGATTTTACGACCTTAATGGCTAGTTTTTTGCTGTTGTTGAGAGAAGGGGGAGGGGGGAGGGAAGGGGGCCCTAGACCCACTAGCCACTGCCCTGATAATATAGTTGTATATACTTAAAGTTGTATGCCATACCATAAGGTGTTTTTTTTTACTCGATTTTAAGATCTTAATTTTCAAGGTAATAATTTTTTCCGTAGTCAACTTTTGCATATTAATAATTGATTTAGTCTTTTAAATGTTATGTTTTTTACACTTTATTGTGTGAAATTGTGTGAACAATTTGTGAAAGTTTATTGTAAAAAGTCGACTTATATAGTTTAATACTTTATGACCAGAAAATACAACTCAAAAATCAAAACTTCAAAATCAACTGAAAACTTATGCTGGCACTTTATATTCATGGTACAGAAATTATATTCAGAAATTATATTCTACGAAATAAAAATTATATTATAATTTTTATTTCATAGGTTATAATGAGAGGTCATTAATAAAAAGTTTAAAAACTTGTTATCTAAACTAGTTATTCTCGTTCTTATCATTTTTAGAATTATTGTATTACTCATTAAATATTGTGAAAATAAGATGCTTTAAACTATGTAATAACTATGTAATACGCATAAGATTACAGAAAATAGTTTACATCTTCATAAACGTTGACATTAATAGAACTTTAGCAAACGATTTGGTGGCGCCTGTTGGCTGAATTTTATAATAAGTTGACACGTAAACTGCAGATTAAACCCTTTATATGTTATCAAAACATAGACACAAATCATATATGTTTAAATGATATTTATGAAAAAACATAAATTAATTTTTGAAATTATATTTAAAAAAATGTTTTAACATAACACTTTTATAATCATACATGTTTTAAAAAAAGTATTTTTGTAACTTTCGATTTTAAATATTTAAAAAATATATATATAGTTTAGAAAAAGTTTTGAATAATAAATTTTAATCTATATTTATTTAATTTTTTATTAGTCAAATTTTTTCAAAAATTATTTTATTAAGCAATGAAAACTAAAAATCAGAACAAAAACAAAATTTGTTTAAAAATAAATTATTCAAAATAGATTTAATTCTCCAGAATTCCTAACTATTTACTTATTGAATTCTTTATAATTTATTTTAAATTATAAAAAATTCAATAAGTGAAAGGTTATTTGTGAAATATGATCCAGCAAATGACGCAGCAAATTTAAAAAAATTAAAAAAAAACGACGAAATTACACAATTTTAATCCATATTTAACACGTTTTATACTTGTTTTCTATGTTTCTCTTATATTATATATTTATATAATATTACTTTATACTATTTATTATACTTTATATTCTCAATAGAAAACTATCATTTAATTTGAGATTAAATTAGACTTTTGATTTAATCTCCTAAATTTATAAAAATCATTATCGTTGTTTAAAAAGTTGTTTGAAATGTGGGCGTTGATGAAAATGGGTGTTTAATTAGTTGGAGTCAGCTGAAAAGTTTTGCGCAAATGCTAAAGCATGACAATAAAGTAAGGTTGCCAAGTTAAAAATTAATTTTGTTAATTTTCGCATGCCATAATTTAAAAGTAGTTTAATGCCGATGTATAGTTTTCCTTAATCATAAAGATAACAATGATAACAAGCACATGTTGGCCTGACGTCAGAAAAATGTCGGAAACGTTGGGTTGACATTGTTTCAACTGGCCCATTGTAGTGTGTTTGGTGGGTCAGATCCTAAGCTAAAATTAGTATTGTAAATTCTTGTTCATCGTATACTTAGTGAACCATTAGTTGCAGCCGCTGAAAATGGCCTACTGTTAACTTTCAAGCATGTTATAGTGGCTATTCATCGGCTAGTCACTTTTGGTGGCTGTTACTAATGATCCGCTAGTTAACTGATGAGCAAACCTGCAATGGAACGCTCAAAATATCAATATAGTTCCACTGAAATTCCGCTATAGAATGCTGGGTAATCTCCAAACATTTTCTAGGATTTAATAAATTAATCAATATAAATTTCTGAAATAATTATCACACTTCGTGGATATTTACAAATAGTATATGCATCATTTGTAAATATCCTAACTAATCTTAAGTAGAAACCAGCTGGAGTAAATAAGAAAAGTAGAAACCAGCTAGAGAAAACAAGAAAAGTAGAAACCAGCTGGAATAAATAAGAAAAACGTAGTAATAAAAGTATTATTACTATAATAGTAATCAATAACAGAATTAATAAAAGTAACAGTCGTAATAGAATAAATAACAAGAGTGGAAGTAGTGATAGTAACAATAAAATCTGGTCAGATATTAAAATAAAGTTCAAAACAAAATCCGAGTTAAATATAGAAGTTTGAAAAGATTGAAACAATTGAAAAAGCGGAAACAAATTCACCCCAAAAGAAAGTTATTGTTTCATTTAATTGGACAAAATTACCAAACAATAATAATAATCTAAAATTGCTTCTGATGGTGTGATTGATGTGACTCTATCAATTACAACAATTACTGCAACAAAAAATTCTTTAAAGGAAAAATGTCGTATTACATGCTAGAAAAATAAGGGGAGGGGAAGGCTATTTTTGAAAATTCAGAGACATTCCTTATATTAACATTGTAAAAGATATAACAGACTTTTTTTAAATTCTTACAAAAATTTGCATGAAAAGTTAGAACAAAACGGGACAACAGAAAGAAAGACAACGGTACAGATCTTCGGAATGCTAAAGGAAAGTTTAAACTCGTTTTATCCATTTTTGTTTAGGAATGATTATATTGTGCAATTAACAAAGGTCCCGTTGTGTTCTAAAGCAAATAACTCTTCATTGTGCACCTATGTATTTTTAATTAACTAAGCAGAGGTTAAATTTTTTTGTAGTTTACGGAAAAGCATACATTTACCTTAAAAAGTACTATCAGGATACTAAAGTTGAAGCAAACACGTTTATCATTATCCGAAAGAGGCATGGTTTACTTACCAAGTAAAAAGATGAGAAAATTCAGTAATTTGCTTATACTTTTGCTTAAAACTTATGCTGATATTATATATATATATATATATATATATATATATATATATATATATATATATATATATATATATATATATATATATATATATATATATATATATATATATATATATATATATATGTATTAAATTATATTAAAAACATTTACATCAAACAGTACATCAATCATTTGATATCATTTGTGTAACCCTGACATTAAATAATTCAGTTTTTGAGTTTTTACTAAAGCTTAAATAGCATTATATTTGTTTACTTAATCCAAGTTTTGTTTTACATTTTTTGCTTTATTTATAATGTGGACCATGCGTCAAGTAAAAACATCTATTTTGTGCAAGATAAGTTTGTAAATAACTGCGATAAGAACTTTAAGCAACCATGTTTTTCAAAACAAGCCATGCAATTTAAACTGATACGTTTGTACATGAAGTAGGTTTCTTCTTATTCTTTGAAAGAAAGGAAAAATTAAATTAAATTTTCTCATATAACTGAAAAACAAAGTCTCGCTAATCATTATTAGTTTTGATAGCTTTCACGCTGAAACTTAGGTCAATATTGATGTTGTGGATTTGCAAATTTTGTGTACATCGTTTTGCTTGGTTTTTTGACTTTTGCATTAGGTAATTTAAAAAAAAGTTTTACTCTAAACGCACAACTGTTGTTAACTACTACATTCCAAGTTTAAATAAATTGTTTGTGCGTTTTTAGTGTGTAAATTTTTTTATACAAATTCAATCTAATTCTTTATGAATTTAGTAATGGAGTTTACGCTGCTGCTAATAGTTATAAATTTTCTATTATTCAATTGTCAATTGCCGCCAACATTATATCGTTATGGAGATTTTTATCCTAAAAAAGGAAATAATGATGCACAAAATACCGAGATTTTAATTAGTGGAGGGATACGTGATGTCATTAAGAGAAACTCACCACGTTTTCGGAAGATTCTAGTTAGGAACTCGGAATCAAATATTGATTTTCAAACTGAGGATTCTCGTCTAATGACATCGCGAGCAAAACAAAAAATTGATACGCTTGCAGGTTTGGTTACAACACGATTTGGAAAAAATATGAAAGTGAATGTACTTAAAGCATGGACAGATGTGGTCGAAAAAGAAGACAAACTATCATTGCACTATGAAGGTAAAAAAAAATAACAGAAATAACATTTAGATTTACACTTATTGTTAAGTGTTGTGTTATATCGTGACGTTATATTGTTATATTTTAGTTAATTTATTTGTTAGCTTACCATTAAACTTATTCACTTAATGAAAATTGTCGTTTTGTTGGCGTTTTGACTTTTTATTTATAAAAAATAAAAAAATTTGTTTTGTTAAGAACTTTTATTTTCAAGGAAACTTTAGTTTTATTTGGTTGTATTTTAAGGTCGAGCATTTCTGATTCGTGCTTCAAATAATGACAAGAAATTGCTTAGCGATCTTATGGTTTTAGCACGTGAAGCCGGATTCGATTGGGTTTATTATAAAAATGAGGATTCTATCTACCTGAGTGTGATCCCTGATGGTGAGTTTTTGATATATATATATATATTTTTTTTGGGATAAACCGCACCCACCTGTAAAAAGTTTTCATAATAGAATTTTAAATTTCATAATAGAAGTACTCCGTATATAATACTTATTCAAATTTTTAGCTAACTTGCCATAGTCGTCCGTAAATTTTTAGCTAACTTGCCATAGTCGTCCGGTAATAAACAATCTGTAAATAATTTAAAATATTTATTAAAAACTATTGATATTTCAATAACTTGTTCTTGTAGTATTTTTGAACCATTGTTCTTATCAGTAGCCAAAGAGCGGAGATAGTTGAGCATAAAGACAAGTTATATAGTAGAGCGAAGCAAAATAATAATAAAATATTATTTCATGTTAGTTTAGCATAAAGGTAAGTTATAGACAGTGGAGGATTAAAACTTCTTGGGGCCCGGGGCTATTTTTGTTTTTGGAGGCCATTTTATGGGCCAGAGCCTAAAAATGACTTTAAAAAAAAAAAAAAAAGGTCCTCTAAACTTTTTTGGGGCCCCTAAATTTGCGGGGCTTGGGCTATAGCCCCTATAGCACCCCCCTGATCCGGCACTGGTTATAGAGTAGAGTGGGGCTAGTTGAGCATAAAAGCAAGTTAGGCAAATTAAATATTTCAAAAACTAGGCATCGATTGGCAAAACGTCTGGTGAAAGTAAGGGAATTTGAATCGTAAAACAATGCGCAACAAAAGATTGTTGGACGGTGGACTAAAAAATTATAAAAAAAATTTATCTGCTTTTTAGCAGATTTAGTTGAGTGTTGACATTTTAATTTTATTTATTAGTTAAGCTTTAAAGATAACAATAAGAGTTAGGAAAAAATATCAAACTGAATCCGATAAATTGATAAAATCTCAACTAAATCTGCTAAAAAGCAGATAAATTTTTTTTATAATTTTTTAGTCCACCGTCCAACAATCTTTTGTGCCGGATTTTAATTTTATTTATTAGTTAAGCTTTAAAGACAACAATAAGAGTTAGGAATCTCTTATTGTTATCTTTAAAGATAACAATAAGAGATTCCTAACTCTTATTGTTGTCTTTAAAGCTTAACTAATGTGTAACCTTTTCTAGTAGGGGTAAGTTAAGCATATTTGAAACAAATACACAAATAAAAAATTTGATAAGAAATTTTTAAATTTTCAAAGGTTACTACAATTGTATAAAACAATATTTTAAAATTTTTTGGCACTTTTTTACTATTTAATTTTTTCTCTTCTTTTACTTATGTCATTAAAGTGTATAAAATGTAAAGCTTATAAATTATAGACACGCTTAGTGTTAACGATAATTTTATTGATGGTTTATCCAAGTTACATATCATGCGTATTATTTACTTGTTGATTGCTCAACTTGCCCCACATAGTTGCTTAACTTATCTCAATGGAGCAGGTTAAGCAGCTTAGTAAACTTTGGGCAATACCTTCTCAAACAAATCAAAAATATACTTTTTTCTATACCAAATTGTAGCATGTTAAATTATCTTTCCAATAGCTAAAAATTATGTAAAATTCATGAGATCTGTTCAATTTAATAAAAACTGCACAACTAGACCCTCTCTACCCTAAAACTTCGTCAATTTATAAGAAAAATAGAACCCTAAAACCAAAACTTTAAAAAATTGACAAGAAATATGGTACGTCTAATTATTTACAACTTGTTAAGGTTATCGAAAAAAAAAATATTATTATAAACAAATGATAAATAAATGATTTGTATAAAATAAAGATAAAACGTGGTTGCTTGACGACAGTAACACCAACTCTCGATTATAAATTCGTGTAAAAGTAATAATAGAAAAAAATTTGTCAAATGGTCATTATGCCACAGGGAGAAATTTGTAGTTTTATAAGAATGGAGTTGTATAAAAAGTTTAGTTAATTTTAATATATTGTTAAGATACGAAATATTTTAAACATAAAGAAGAGTTGTTGAGAACTAGTAGAGTAGAGTGCTCGAGTTCGTTGATGATTGATAATTGACTGCAAGAAAAGAGACATCCATAATAGGGTGGATCGATTTTCATAGCAAAAAAAAAAAAAGTTTAAAAATTATTATTCCTGAGACACGAATCGATGTCTATTAATTATAAGATGAAAGTAAAAATATTTTTTGATTTTGATGAAATCTTGAGGTTCCTTTTTGGATTCTAAATCATTGACGGATCCTAATATTTTTGAATTTTTATTTTTTTGTTAAACTATATCAATCTTGGACTCAAAAAAAGCAGAAAAAAGTCCTTGTTTTATCAATAATCATTTTATTAAAAAAAAAATTTTAGTGAAAAAAAATATTTGCAAAAATATACCTTAAAACTCCCGTTTTGATAAAGACGCGGGTTTTTTAATGAAAAAAACAACATTATTTTTTTCTTTTTAGTTTTGAATTAAAAAAATTATTATTTTCCAAATAAGCGTATTATTCTGCTTCTTTTAAGTACCAGGTTGATATAGTTTAGAAGAAAACAAAATTTCAATGATACTAGGATCCGTCATAAATTTAGAATCCAAAGAGGAGCCTCTAAAACTCATTTAAATTAAAAAAAAAAAAAAAAGTAAGGTTCTTTTTTCACCAAAAGACATCGATTTGCAGCTCAGGCAAATCAAATTTCAAAAATTTTAAAAATCGATCCACCCTAAATAAAATACCCTGGATAAACGGTTAAAATTCCTCTTCCGAATATAAATATTGTGATTATGGATTCCATAATCACGATATTTATATTTGGAAGAGGAATTTTAACAGTTTATCGAATAACAACTTAAGTTGTTATTGGATAAATGGTTTAAATTCCTCTTGGGACGTATCAATTGACACATTTAAGTACAAAAATAGATTAAATGCAATACTATTCAATTCGCGCAACAGAATGAAGAACGCTAAGATTAAAGAGAATTAAAGTTTTTTAACATATACTTAGACAGTTTGCCCAGACTAAAAAAATATTCATTATGTTATGTCATTAAACAATTTATAGTTTACATAAAAAACGAAATAAATTTACAATAAAATAAATGAAAAATATTTTTTATGAAAAATATTTCTTTTGCTTTTTTTTAATTTCCAATATCCTGAAATCACCCAAAAATTTTAATTTTTAACAGTTTTTGTCTTTTAAGAACTAGTGCCAAACTTACTAGAACTAAAGTCATTTGGTTATCAACTAGATCAAGTTCTTTAAGAAGTTAAATTTTAGCATTAACGCAAATAATATTTACCTCTGCAAATTTAAATAATAATAAATACAGAAAGCAGATTTTCAAACCTAAGAGTGTTGGTATGTGGAACCAATCTATAAGTTTTAGAATAATAATCCACATATATTAGATTGTTAGCAGATATTATGAATATGAAAAACTTTTAGTACTTAAAATAACTTGGGTAGTTATTCTTATGGTCCTGGCGGCGCGTGTAGGTGAACTATGCCCCCTTCCCCCAACGTGACACCTACTCGTGATGACATTACAATATTTTCGACTGAAAAAAAATGGTCATTGTTTTTTGAAATTTTTCGACTGTCTAGTCAACATTTGCCGATTGACTGTCTAAATTTGCCGACTGACTTGTCTTAAATGGTCAAATTTGCCGACTAAATGAACAAAAAAATCATTGATCGGAGGTGTCACACCCCTTCACACACACACCATATCGCGCCGGCCTTAGACGGATCCAGGAATTTTTTTAGCGTGTTGAAACATTTTTGTGTTTTGTACCACATTTGCGTCTCCTAAAAAAAGAAAAAAAAGGGTCTTTAATTTCTAAGATATTATAGGACTTTTAGGTTCTGATGAAGGGGAGGGGGATGCATTTCCCAACCCCCCTGGACCCGTTTCTAATATTGATAAATTAAACATAGAATATATATTTTTTACAACAAAATATTATCTTACAAGTCTCTTATTAAACTACATGACACCAAAGTAGAAAGAGAGAGCTTTAAATCGGTATTTTTTCTTCAATAAATTAATAATGGCGAGTAATATGTTTTCTCAAAGGCAACTAATTGTTTACTATTTTTTCTATATATCTTGAGAATTTTATCTTTTGATTTTTTTAGAGTTACTTGGTTGTTAGATTTTGAAGTCTTTCTATTTTTCTTTTTTAAAGGTTTTTATCGCCTTCGACTAAATTGACTAAAAGTCGACTATGAAAAATCTAATAGTCGATTTAATGGACTTTAAATTTTCTACTAAGCGGCTAAAAGTCGATTTAGCCGTGTCATCTTTATCTCTTCGTTTAATTTAACTTTGTCAATATTTAATTTTATTATGATGCTGACCAATTAGTAAAGATATATCCTTATAAGTAGATTATTTTATAAAGATAAAATATTTGCAAAGATTGAGCACAAGACCATTATTAATAGCTGGGTTTTTAATTCAACCAAATTTACTATTTTCACATAAACTCAGCTCTAAGCTGTGCCGCTACATTAATGTATGCAATGTAACATTAATGTATGCAATGTAACATTAATGTATGCAATGTAACATTATTGTAAAGTTAATAAATGTTTATTTTTTCTTGCTATACTGACTCGTTATAAAAAGTTAATTCTTTAAAAAAATATTTAATAATGTGTCATCAGTTAACAATGCCAAAAAGATACAAAGTTTTATAAATCTGAAATCCAAAAATAATCTTTTTTTTTTAATTCTCTCTGTTTTAATTCAATTAAAATTCAATAAGTCTATAAGTTCTACCAAATTATCTTTATTGATTTATACATTCAATAATTATACGTAATAAACATTTTAAACGATTGGTTTAACTCCTTTTATAAATTAATAACGATTAGAATAATTCTAATGATAATGACAGGTACTCATCCAAATCCTTTAGGACACTATTACTACATGAAGGAATTCTTATCTGAAAATTAACACACTTAAAAGCTTTCTTTGACTTAATTGTAATAGCTATTTTATTCTTATTCTCTTTTTATGGTAGAAATAAAATGTCGAATCGAAACATTCATAAAAGTAAAGTCTGGAATTATCTTTTGAAAAACAATGACTCTACAATAACAACGTGTAAATATAAATATACTTTAACAAACGAAATTTGCAACAAAAAGCTAGAATGCAATAAAAATACAGCTCAATGGCAAATCATTTGTATAGTAACCATCGGAATAATATTAAAGAGTCTAAGCTTCGAAGTACAACAACTGGTCGTGAGTAGTAGGAAAAGGAAAGTTGATAGAACATTTTTATTTTCAACCAAATTTTCAACCATAAATTAATATTAATATTGAGGTTAACATTGAACCATGTTGTGTATAATTTATTTAGATAAGAAATAATTTTTTATTTTAAAAAAAATTGATTTTTTAAAATAAGTGTTAAATTTTATTTCTTGTTATGAAATATTACGAAAATTTCTTGCATGACGTCACGTGACTTTTCTTAATAATAAATTTGATCTGGTGTTTTTAACTTTTCTTCTTCTAATCTTTCCTTCTCTAACTTTTCCCATTGTAATTTATTTTTATTTTTAAAATAACGAGCTAAACTTATTCTTCTTTTATAGCCCATAAATTTATTAACTTCATCTTTACTTGTACATTCCATTTTTATAATTTATGTAAAGAATTTAAATTTTCAATTTTTTCTTCTTGCTTCTAATTTATATCCTTTTTCATGTAAATACTTTACAACTTCAAGATGACTATTTTCTCGTCCCATAAAATTGGAAAAAACAATTTCAATTAAATTTTTAGGTCCTTTTATATTTAATTCTGCGTGAAAATATTCAAGAATATGTAAATGTCCTTTTTTTGCTGCATAATAAAAAGCGTCATTATTTACTTTATAATTTAAAGATATTAAATATTTAATTATATTTAATTCTCCTTCATAAGCAGCATACTGAATTAAATCTTCAGGACCTCTTAACTTTAATGAATGGAAATATTCAAGGATATGTAAAAGATTATTATATGTTGCATAAATAAAAGCAGACTTATTTACTTGATAATTTTGAGATATTAAATATTTAATAACATTTAAATGTCTATACATCACAGCATAAAAAATTAAATCATCAGGACCTCTTAACTTTAATGAATGGAAATATTCAAGGATATGTAAATGTTTATTAATTGCAACATACATAAAAGCAAGATCATTTTCTTTATACCCTTTTTCATATAAATACTTTACAATTTCAAGATGACCATTATATGCAGCATTATTAATTGCCCGTTCAGAACCTTTATACCCTAATTCATGTAAATACTTTACAACTTCAAGATGACCATTTTCAGCAGCATAATTAATTGCATTTTTTGTTCCTATATATCCTTTATAATGTAATAATTTAATTAAATCAAGGCGACCATACTTAGCAGCAAAGTTAACCTTATTACTTTTTTTATACCCATAGTTTTTTAATATTTCAGTAATATAATATATCTGAGATGAAGGATTAATTATTTCGTTTTGAATTTTATTTTCCATTCTTTTTTATATACACAAGAAAATTATTTAACTTATTTTTCAATTTTTTTATTTTTTTACAAAAAATAAAAAAATATTTAATTCTGTAGTCTAATTATCAAATACAACTTCATCATCTTCATTATCATATTCAGTAGTTTCTGTAATTTCAGTAGTTACTGTAGTAACTTCTTCAACTTCATCATCTTCTTCATCTTCTTCATCTTCATTATCTTCATTATCTTCATCATCTTCATCATCTTCATCTTCATTATCTTCATTATCTTCATCATCTTCTTCAGTCATTTCAATATCATTATCGTATTCAGTAGTTTCTGTAATTTCAGTAACTTCAGTAGTAGTAACTGTAGTAACTTCAGAATCATCAGTCATTTCAATATCATGAATATCAATTATATTTAATTTTTCTTCTATTAATCTTAATCTTTCATTTATTGATCTTAAAAATGAATTTTGCATTTCGTTTTCCATTCTTTTTTATATAAAAGAAAAATTATTTAACTCATTTTAAATTTTTTGATTTAAAGTATTTTTTACAAATAATAAAAGAAAAATGTATGATGATGAAATTAATGAAATATCTGAATTTCAAAAAGAATTTAAACTTTTTGAAGAAATATTAAAATTTGAATTTGAAGAATCAGATTCTGAAGATGACACTTATTATACATCTGATGAAGCTACTTATTATACATCAGATGATGAAGAAGAAGTTAAAGAAAAACCTATAGTTCCAATTCCTTTAAAAACAGTTCAAATCATGGAACTGCATAAAGATAAGCTGAAATGGATTAATTATGTTCCAACTTATAATGTTATTAATGATGATTTTCCTGCTATAGATAGTTTCTTAACAAAAAAACATAATAAAAACAGAAAATTTAGTTTTGAAAAACCATTTAATGTAGATATTAATTTTACTGAAGATGGAAAACCTTCAACAATACATTTTGTAGAGAAACTACCCATTTTTTGTAAAAATATTTTAAATGATAATTTCTGCCCTTTTGGAAGAAAATGTAAATACAATCATGATATTCCTTATTGTAATACTGTAAAGGAAAGACTCATATGCACTAAATCTTCATGTCAATATAGACATTTATCTCTATGTTATGAATACCCTAAATGTAAGAATAAAAAGTGTAGATTGTTTCATCCAAAAAAGTCAGAATTATCTAAATTAAGAAAAGCTAAAACAAAATTATGCAAATATATTCTTGATAAAAAAGAATGTAAAAATATAAATTGCAAATATGCTCATTCTTTTAAAGAAATTGAAGAAAATGTAGAAATTTGTCATTATACTCCATGTAAATTAGTAGAGAGTAAATTAAAGAAAAATAAAAAAGGAGAAAAAACATTAATATATAAAAATAATGATAATAAAAAGTGTAATTTTTTACATCAAGGTGAAAGCATTTTAAATTATATTGCAAGAACTTTAAAAACAAAATAGATATGAGGATTACAGAGTGATTTAAAAAAATCTTTACATTTATAAAATGTATAATAGTAGAATGTTTTTATATTATGAAAAGAATGAACAATATAGAATAAATTTTTATATTAATTCAGATTTAGAACATAGAGCAATAAATGATAGACATATTAAAGTATTCGCACAAGAAGATTTTACAGTAAAATCAAATTCATATAATAACATTTCTTTAATGTGTGGTGTTGAAATAGAAAAAGGACATATAGTGATTTCAATTGCAGAAAATTATAAACCAGAACTAAATTTACTAAATTCTATTGTAACAGAGTCTACTGACGATATTAAAATAACTGTATATAATAACGATAAAAAAGATATAAACATTAAAAAAGGAGATTTGTTATGTTGTATATCAACTTATAATGGTATTTTAAATGTAAATTATATATCACATAGAGATGCTTTAGAACATGCAAAAGAAGAACAAATGAGGCAACAAAATGACTCAGGAACTAAACAGAAAAGTGATAAAGAATCTGTAAAATCTTTATTATCAAGTATAGAAGTAATTAAAGAAACTATATGTGATGAAGATAAAACTGTTATTAAAGGTGTTGATTTTGGTAATGATAAACCTTGTATAGATAAACCTGATATTAAAGGTGTTGATTTTGGTAATGATAAAGATATATTTAATTTTGGTAAAAAGTGATTTAGTGAAGCATTAATAACAAAAGTGATTTAAAACAAATTTTTCTTTATAGAAAAAAGAAATGCTATGTAATAATGGATATAATAATGAATATAATAATGAATGTAAGCAGCTTTATCCAGATCTAAACCAGTTTTCAGAAAATCCATCTGCACCACCACAATCTATAGATCATAACTTTAGATTACAAAAGATTAGTGAAATTCAAGATAAAATAGAATGTGAAAGGAAAAGAAGAGAGATTTTAAGTAAAAAATATCACAGAGCTGTAAGAATCATTTCAGCAGTTGATAATACATTACTAGCAAGTACTATGACATTAGGAGCTGTTGGTATTGGTTTTTTAACAACAATAGTTGGAACACCAGTAGCTATTGCATGTGAAGGTGTAGCATTAGGTATGGGTGTATTATCACTAATAGGATCACAAGCTAATAAAAAATTTACAATAAAAGCAGAAAAACATGAAAAGATTAAAGTACTAGCTGATGCAAAACTAAATACAATAAGTAGTCTTATTTCTAAAGCTATATCAGATCAATATATTGATGATGCAGAATTTAATATGATACTTTCAGAACTTGAAAAGTTTCAAACTATGACTGAACAAATTAGAACAAAATCTAAGAATGATATAGATGAACAGACTAAAGAGTCATTCATTAATCAAGGTAAAGAGAAAGCAATGAAAGAAACTATGGAATTGCTAAATATGAGATTTAACAAAAATCAGAATATAGAAGTGATGAATAATACTCTTAATAAATAAAAAAACATATATTTTGTATTACTTAAACATATATTATGTATTAAAAAACATAATATATGTTGATTTTAATCCCTTTAGGGATCTAGGGATCACATTGTGATTTAAAAAAATTATTGCATATATAAAAATGTATGCAAAAGCTACAGATATTGATGCAAGATTAAAAATAGCAAAAGAACTTGCTAGTTTAAAGAAAAGTATATATCAAGATGATGTAAATGAAAAATTAGGCTATGATGCTTTACAGACTAACTTGGAAAAGTTGTACAAACCAATAATTGATAGTCAATCTGGAATAAAAGAAGGTATATCTAAATTAGAAAATAAAGCTGATCAAATAGCAAATACTTTTTCAAATTATCCTGCTTTACTAGATTCTGAAACTAAAGCAATCATGCCACCTGAAGTTGTAGATAACATGAGATTAGGACCTATCGCAGCAGAATATCTAAAGTTATATACTGCTAAAAATAGTAAAAAAGTATCAGATGATATATTTGGTATACATTACAATGAAAGTGATAAAAAATTTTACATTGGTAAAAAACCAATAACTATTGAAGGTGATGATATAATTATTGAAGATAAAAAATACATAGGTACACCAGGCCTTTGGGAGATTATAGTAAAATCTCATCCTGTTAGATATACTAACGATGATCGTAATAAGTATAAAGAAATTTTAAATCAAACAGATGCAATTCGCTCTGAGTTAAATTTAGCTAAACCAAGATCATCTAGAGGTTATAAGTACACTAATGTAATAAAACCTATTTGGGAAGAGATGATTGGAAAGTCTGGAAAAGGAGTTGTTATTCTTCCTAGTGATCCAAATGCACTATTTGATATGCTTAAATTACGCTTAGC